AGTGGGAGCACGATTCGGGACGAGCAGAAGCGCCGAAATGGGTCACCGCTGCAGAGGGAGCACGATTCGGAAGGAAAGGTAGCCCGAGAATGAAGCTAGCGCATTTGCGAGGGCAGTATATATTGAGATATATATATATATACATACTAGAACCATCGCGCGCGCTGCGCGCGCGCTCAGGTTCTAGCAGGCCCCAGGCCTTGACGAATTCACTGCTCCACTGAAGTAGTGGACCAGAGTCCACGCATGCCAATATGCATTCCGAAAGGCCTTCGAGGAAAATGGTTGTGTAGGGGGGCAGAGGCCGTATGAATCGGGTTCCCAGAAGGCTTCTGGGAGCATGGGTTTGGGGGGCGTCTTGGGGAGCCTGTTGGGGCGTGCCGTCGTCGTCGTCGTCGTCGTCGTCGTCGTCGTCGTCGTCGTCGTCGTCGTCGTCGTCGTCGTCGTCGTCGTCGTCGTCGTAATGTTGTCGTCGCCTATTGGGGCGCGCCGTCGTCGTCGTCGTCGACGTCGTCGTCGTCGTCTTCGTCGTTTCGTCGTCGTCGTCGGTTCAAGAAGGCACTTGGGGCAACTTTGTGCGAAACGATATGCGGAGGGCCGCGAGAAGGCGATCAGTCATGTTCCCAATCAACTTCCCAGACAGCTCTCCTATAGCATGATGGTACTTCGAAGCCTCCAGAGACTCTCAGGCCCATGATGAACCATGTCCCTGGAAGGCATTCTGGGGACATGGTTTGTTGGGGTGTGTTGGGGGGTCTCTTGGGCGTTCCTTGGGGACCCCTTGGGGGCCTCCGGGAACTCTCGGGCCCATGATGAACTATGTCCCCGGAAGGTTTTCTGGGGACATGATTTCTTGGGGTGTGTTGGTGGGCCTCTTGGGCGTTCCCTGGGAGCCCCTTGGGGGTCTGTTGTGGCTTCCTGGGGGCCTCTTGGGCGCCTCACGGGGCTTCGTGGGAGCCTCTTGGTGGCCTCCGGGTGCCTGCAGGCGGCCTAGGGCCAGAGACCTCGAAATATCGGTTGGCAGTCCCCCTCTGGGCCCTCTCTTGGGGAGCTCTTGGGGCACAGTTGGGTTGTCTGGGGAGCCTCCTGGGCCGTCTTGGGGCCCTCGTCGGGGCCTCGTGGCCCGTCTTGGAGCGATCTGAAAGGCCTCCGAGCGAGGCCGTGAGGGAGCGCTGGGAAGCGGGGAAAGCGAGAACGCATAAATCCTTCGAAAACCATCAGAAAATGAGTGAATCTTGCCCCCCAGAGGCACCCAGAATGCTCCAAGAAGCCTCGGCGAGAATGCCAATTCATTGATTTTACTAAGGTTTTAGCCACATGTTTGCCTCTTGGGGGGGCACTGATTAAGGTGACTCCAAGAGCGCTTGGGAGAGCCCAAGATGACCTCCAAGATGGCTCAAGATATCCCAAGATGTCTCATAATGGCTCCCACGATGCTCCAAAGAGCTCCCCCAGGAGGCCCCGAAGAGGCCAAAACCTTAGGAAATTCTGTGTGTTTGGCTTTCTCGCCTTTTCGCTTCCGATGGCCATCCGAGGCCTCAAGATGGCTCCAAGATGGCCCAAGAGGGCTCCAAGAGAGGCTCCAGAGAGCCCCAAGACGGCCCCAAGAGCGCCTAAGAGCGCTCCAAGAGCGCCCCAAGAGCGCCCCAAGAGGCGATTGCTTGGGCTCCCGAGGGGCAACGCTAACTAATGCTCGCTTCTTGTTTGATCGATGTCCCCCCAAGATGGCCCCGAGAGCGCTCCCAAGGCTCCCAAGAGCGCTTCAAGAGGGCCCCAAGAGGCGCCCAGGAGGCCCCAACGAGCGCCCAAGAGGCCTCCAAGATGCTCCCAAGAGACCCCCAAGAGGCCCCAAGAAGCTCTCCGAGGCACCCAAGACGCTCCAAGAGGCCTCCACTGGGGGACCCTTCCTCTGTGTGCTGCCCACTTCCCTGATCGAGGCAATTCCTATGGGCATCGTTTCTCGATGGGCTGGTTGGGTTACGCGAAGCGTCTGGAATTCACCTGGAAGTCTCTGGCGAGAGCGCGATTCCTAAACTAATTATGAGGAAGTCCCAGGCGATAGCGCGATTCCTGAATGGCGAGGACGTGGCGACTGCATAAATTGAAAATCCAAGCGAGAGCGCGATTCCAATATAAATTGTGAGGAAGTCCCACGCGAGAGCGCGATTCCTCAGTAAACCGCGAGGCAGTATCAGGCGGGAGCTGTTGCTGTTGTAGTCGGGGGGGCAACAAGGCAGTTTGACCCTTGTGACTCTCCATGAAAAAAACAAGGTGCGAGCCCGGGGGAAACGCTTCAATTGAAAACATGCAAAGTTCACCCGAGGGGGGATCAACAATAAGTCTTCAGTAGTGAGAACTCAACAATAACAAAAAAAAGTGTCAATTTAAGATTGTTCGCTCTTATCTGCCCGCGTTCCACTCAAAACGGTTTTCCCAAACCTTCGATACCCACCCTCTTCGTCTTCGATCGTACCCCCTTGGGGGTATATCTGTCTTACCTGCAACTTGAATTTTCGTGCAGCACCTGTAGGGGAAGAGAGAACGGTTGGCAGGAAGGGACAACGGGGAGAGAGAAGAATGGAGCACGAGAGCGAGAGTAGCAGGAGGGGGCTAGGAGCAGAAAACACATGGCAGAACCAGACGGGCAGATCGGGACGATAGACCCTAACAGGCGGGCCCAGGCGGCCAGGTCGAGCAGGCGGGTTGCTGAAGCGAACGTCATGCATGAATCGCGAGGAAGCCTTGAGCGACAGCGCGATTCCAAAATAAGTCTCGTGAGGGAATCTAGAGCGAGAGCGTGATTCCTGAGCGATTCTTCAGTAAAGGGCAAGGACGTATCAGGCGGGAGCCGCTATTGTTGTAAATCGGGAGCCAGGGGCACAGTTTGAGCAGGAAAACTTCCCCTGGTAAAAACACAGCGAGCACCGGGAGGGGCACTTCAATTGAAAAACATGCATGTTACGCGAATGCGTGAGTCATGCATAATTCGCCAGGAAGTCTCGAGCGAGAGCGCAATTCCTAAGCAACTTATGAGGAAGCCCTAGGAGAGAGCGCGATTCCTGAATGGCGAGGGCGTGGCGCCTGAATAGATTGCGAGGAACTCACAGGCGAGAGCGCGATGCTTGGATGAACTGCAAGGAAGTTCCTAGCAAGAGCGCGACTCCTCGGTAACGTGCGAGGAAGTATCAGGCGGGAGCCGCTGGTGTTGTAAACCAGAGGCCAGGGGCACATTTTGAGCAGGAAGATGTTCCCTAATAGCAAACAAGGTGCGAGCCCCTGGAGGGGCACATCAAATGAAAAACAAAAATATTACCGGAGGGGGATCAACCATATATCTTCTTCAGCAGTGAGGGTTCAATAAGACCAACAATAACAACAACATCATCAACATCAACATCCAAATCGAAATCAACACCGTCATCGTTACAAGAATGAGAGATCGTCATCAGAACTAGCATCAAAAACGTGACCATCACCGTCACCATCACAATCCCCATCTTCATCAACAGCCATCGTCGTGGTCACCGTCACTTTCAACATCCCATCATGCCCCATCATCCCCCACCTTCCCTGGTCCCTCGCCTCCACATCCTCATCCGTCTCCTCCTTCTCCTCATCCTCATCCTCCTCCTGCTCCTTTTCCTCCTCTCCCCCATTGACTTTCCTCCGCGAAGCCTCCTTTTCCTCTGATTGCTGCTCCTCTCCCTAATCATTTGTCACATCTGAACAGCCCCCCATCATCATCCTTTTCGTCCTCCTCATATATCATCATCACCTGCTCCCCGACATCCTGTTCAGGCCTCTGGAAAGACGCTCTTGGAAAAGCGTGCCAGGTAACCCTACTTATGCCAGATACTGAAAAGGTGGCATCGGTCAAGAACCTCAACACGATGCCGAGAACCATGGTGAATGCACCGTGCTCGATCTCAGGCACCATGCATGGAACAACAAGCGCGATACAAACTCAGATAATTTGAATCCTGCCGCTCGACAGCTGCGAGTATAAGAGCTGCGAGTATTCAGCCGAGCAACAGCGGCGGCAACCGTGGAACATGTAAAGAATGGCGAAATTCCACCGTGATGGAACTGCACCAGACTCGTTGCTTCATCTACGATTCACCGCTGGTAGCCATCCGCGGCCGACGAGTTGCCCCGAACAGACCCCTACGGAACAGTAGGCAGCCTTGCCTGGCAGCGCAGCGGCAGCGGAACCGCGTGGGCAAGTCGGACCTCCACAGAAAATCAGAGCGGGCGAAGGGAGGGATAGCAAAGAGAGGGCCACTCTGGATCCCATCACAGAAAGGAGGCTGCTCCTGAGAGGCAGGCGCGCGGGCGAGAGGCGTGCGGGCGCCGATCCCACGAGGTGCGCCCCGGCGGCCCGCTCCCAGACAGAGCCCGCTCCCCTCCCGAAGCCAGCCTGCGGCGTGCATGCAGCAGGGCCGCCCTGCGCCACGCGGTGGAGGCGCGAGGCACACTCCCGGCACAGCGCTCAAGCAAGCAGGCGAGCAGGCAAGACGGCCACGAATCCTGAGGGGCGCGAGGGCTGGTCGGCAGAAGCTGCGGCTGGCGCCTGCCATGATCCGCTGCGACGAACTCCTCGTCACAACTGGCTGGACTGAGCAACCAAGGAGGACGAGGACGGGGAGGAGGAGGAGGAGGAGGAGGAGGAGGAGGAGGAGGAGGAGGAGGGAGAACAGCCATCCTGGCAACAATCCCTACGAAAGACGGCGACGACAGTCACCATCAATCGCCCGCAGGCCAAGGCACCGCCTGGCGGCATCTGACAATTGCCTCCCCCACTGCAGCTGTACCGGCGTCCAGCCGGAAGAATTCAGCCAGGCGGACGTGGGGGCCATCAGCTTTGATGCAATTATTCATCACCTCGCTGCGCCACATCTGTGAACAAGGAGGATGGGAGGAAAACAGGTCGCGGAAAAACAAGCCGCAAGGGACGCCTGTGAGGAAACACGCGGACCAACTAGACCCCGCAGGCCCGCAATCTAAAACTCATCGAAGAGTTGTTGTTGCTGCGCCGTCAGGCCGCTGGTATCTATGCTGCTCACGGCCTCCTCAGGATAGCGATCGAACATGCTGGCGTCCCAGGCGTCCTTCACCTTAGGCACGTACGGCGCTGTGTCCGCCACCACGCTCGCAGCGGTTGGTGTGTGCGAGCGTGCGTCGGCAATTGTGTTGGCGTTGCTTCTTGCGGGCAAAAACCACCAGATCCCTGGCCCTCGTCATCGCCGTCGTCGTCGTTCTCGCCGTCGTTGTGGCATCACGTTGTTGCTCGGCCCCCAGCGGCGCTGCAGCGCGACGGCAGGAACGGAAGATTCGCCTCCGCGCCTCCAGGCGTTGCCAGGCGGCGAGTGGAGCGGCTCAGTGTTTGCCGTCGGCCCCCCGGTATGTTGTTCGCCGCCCCCAGGCGGTGCACCGTGGCGAATGGAGTGGGACAGCATGCGTGTTCGGCCCACGCGATGCTGCCACGCGACAAGTCGTGGATGGAATACTGCGTTTTCGCGCCTCCAGGCGGCGCAGCGCGGCAAGTGGAGTGGCTCAGTGTTTGTTGTCGGCCCCCAGCGGCGCTGCCACGTGAAGAATAGCGTGGAATAGCATGTTCGTTTCGCCCCCCCAGGCGGTGCCAGGTGGCGAATGGGGTGGAATAATGGATTTCTCATCCTGGGCGGCGCTGCCACGTGACGAGTAGAGTTGAATAGTGTTTTGTCGCTCGCCCAGGCGTTGCAACGTGGCGAGTGGAGTGGGAAAGAATTTTGGTCCCCGCAGCGCTGACACGTGACGAGGCGTGTATTGCGTTACAGCCCCTTGCACTGCATCGAGTTGCGTTGCGTTGCATTGCATTGCACTGCATTGCGTTGTGTTGCACCTCATTGCATAGTGTTGCACTGCATTGCATTTCATGTTGTTGCATTGCATTGCGTTGCATTTGCATTGCACTGCACTGCATTGCATTGCATTGCGTTGCGTTGCGTTGCGTTGCGTTGCATTGCATTGCATTGCATTGCATTGCACTGCATCGCATCGCATTACACCCTGTTGCGTTGCATTCCATTGGACTGCGTTACAGTTGTAGTACAGTTGCAATACATGGCATTGCAATGAATTGCGGACGAGGGGGAAGGAGGAGGACAGGGAGGGAGGAGAAGGGAGGGAGGTACAGAGAAGGGGGGGGGAAGGAGGAGGAGTAAGGACGGAGGCACGGGGGGAGGGGAGGGGGAGTGGAGGGGAGAACCGGCCAACCACCCTGGCAAGCGGGCAACCAGCCACCCAGCCACCCAACCAACCAACCAACCGACCAACCGCCAGCCAACCGAGCGGCCAACCAACGAATCAAGCGCACAACCAACCAACCAGCCAGCCAGACAGCCAACCAACCAACCAACCAACCAGTCCATCAACCAAGGTTCCACCCCATCGCCCCAGAAAGAATTCTTGTTGACCCGGAAACTGGTGAGCCAACCAACCATAAAACAAGCCAAGCAACCAGTTCTTCATTGGCATTTTTCGGAGGATGTCCCACGCGGTGGGGCCGTGGAAAAAATGTTCTACACAGAAAAAAAATCTTACAACCCTGACAGAGTGTCTCTGACCCTGACTCAGCCAACCAACCCACCAACCAAGTCCTTCAATGGGCATGTGTGAAAATGTCTCACGCGGCGGGACCCGTACAGACTTCTTGGACCCGGGAAAAAAATGCACCCTGAAAAATAACATTGGCCCTGAAATTAGAAAATGTTACCTTCTCTCCCGTAAATGCACCACATTGAACGCAACAGCTAGATCGCAAGAAACCCTTCTTGGGATCAACGCTGGCCAGCATCTTCACAGGGCCAAAGATACCCCTCGCTCGCTGTGCCGCGCCGTGCCGCCCGCTTGCCGCGCCGTGCCCGCGTGCCGTGATCTGCACGCGCATGTCGGCTTTGACTCACAAGGTGTCTTCTCGTGCATCGTTGATGCTGAGGCCCTCTGTGCCAGAGTGACTGTTGAAAAGCTGTTGGACTTTCGCGTGTGCTCGAAATCCTCTGCGCTGACCTGCTTGGAAAACGAACGGCTGTGAAGGACTTCGACGTGTGCGCGAGGAGACGCAAGCGTGTGGTGCGCATGGCATCATTTGACAGACGTGGCGGTTGCGCGATTACTGTTAGACGCTTTCGGCGTGTGCGCACATGGCCCGCCTGCTTCCGTGTGGCAGGACGGCGGGAAATACAGTGTTTGCCGCATGTGTGCAACCTGCTCGCGCACAGAAATCTGCCAAGTTTGTCTTAAAGACCTGCTGATGGCTGTTGAACAGATGTCCTGACACCGCTCGGAAACAATCAGTTGATAAAGGTTGTGAAATGCGCGCGCGACGTCGCGCACATGTGCCCCGCAAGATGCTTTTGCAAAAGATCATCCGAACAAAAAAAAAAAAAAAAAAAAAAAACGTGTTAGATCGACGCATGCGAACCGCATGATATTATTTGGCCGAGATGGAGGGGGCGATAACGGGACTGTGTAATATACGACCCGCTTTTGATAATGAATGACCTGGCAGGCTAGCTATGAAACTTTCGTATGCGGGGAGCGGCTAACCCTGGCACTGGCAGGGGCGTAATGTCAAACCTTTTTTTGCAGCAGGAACCAACTTGAAGAACTCGGAATCGTCAACTCAAACGGTCGAGCAAGCATCCCTACCACCTGCCCGCAACTTGTTGGAACTACTCCACAATAGGGGCGAGCGATGACGATGCCAGGGGAGACTCTGGATGCTATGTGGTGTGGGCAGTGTGGTGCGAGCTACGCAGAGGAAAGCTATGCGGAGTGAGATGTGCACTGCACTTTCGTGATGTGAGCAATATAGTGCAGACTGTATGGTGCAAGCTATGCAGTGCACACTGTGCTGTGTAGGCTGTGTGATGCAGCCCGTGCGGCTTCCCTGCCCACGAGCGCACGTCGACATCCTTCGGAAACCCCTCCTCGATCATGCAAAAAGCAGAAGCTGTTGGTGTCCCTCGTCCACCGTGCCAGCTGATGCAAGGCGGGCCGCACGCGCGCCACCTGCGCGCGCCAGTTGGCGTCAGTCCAAAATATCACTTGGAAATTCCAAATACAGCTGCGCAAGCGCCAGAAACCAATGTTTCGTTGGCTGCGAAAACTGACTGTGCCCTTATCAAGCAACCTAGTTCGCACCACATAGCCTGCACTACACGACTTACACCACACAACTTGCTTCACGCCTCTTGCGCCGCATAGCTTTCACAACATGGCCTACACCACATAGCTTAGACGACATAGCCTGCAGGACATAGCTTGCACCACATAACTTGCACCACATAGCTTGCACCACATAGTTCACACAGACATAACTTAAACAAAATATCTTGCAACACATTGCTTGCACAGCATAGTTTAGACCACATACGCACCACATAGCATCCACTACGTGGCTTGCGCTACATTGCTCACACATCTACAGTGCAATAAATTATTGTTTAGGGCCCACGCTGGCAAAAAGGATTTCCATATGATGTTCGCAAGTGCGCGAGCGCAGAAAATCAAACGATCGATTGTTTTGCTGTTTTAAAAGTCTCCGTGTGCGCCTGAAGAGCTCGATATAGAGGCGTTTAGAAGACCAGCGCTTCGAGTATGACTTGGACATGCGCGCGCGTGAGGCCCGCATAGCACGATCCCCAAAGAGTATTTGTACTTGGGGGGCCCTTTTTTGTGTTGCGCAGCCATTGGAAGCGTGCGCCAGGTGCTCGGCAAGTGCCTGGTCGTTGATGCCTCGCGGGCGCACCGTTCACCGCGTGGGCTTGCCAGGTTTTCGGCTAGTGCCCGCCCGGAGGCGACTCGTGGCATATGGGGCGCAAGCGAGGTGGTGCAAGCTGTGCAGCTGTGTTGTGCAGGCTATGGGGCGCAGTCCACTTTGCCGGACTTGAAGTCGTCAACCCCACTGCCCGCGCAATCATCCCACCCTCCCACCCGCGACTCGTTTTGCACAACACATGCGGCGGCGATTGCGGTGACTACTTGGCACTGGTTGGCGCATCCCTGCGGCTGCGATAGCGCGCGCAAGCTCGCGCGCAGAGCGTCCAGCTGGTCTGACACAACCGATGCGGCCGCGATGGTACTTACCAATGAAGTTCCCAGCGCGTCTCAGCGGTCGCGCTGACGCGCGGGCGCTTCAGTGCGGGTCGTTGACTCTGGCGGGCGCGCTATCATAATGACGTCGACAACAGCGGCAACAGTGATGAAAGTAGCGATGGTGGTGGCGAATACGACGACGACGACGACGACGACGACGACGACGACGACGACGACGGCAAGGCCAATAACGGCGCCGATGCTGGTGACGACGATGACGATGTCCATATGTCGGTGACCCAGGTGATTAAATGATCATGGCGGTAATAGCGGCGAGTGACGAAGACGAGAACGGCGGCGATGTGGCCGCGCTGATTGGGGTCATGGTGAGGAGGTGCGCGCGCGGACATGCAAGGAGTCTGGCAGATTGTTAACTGACAAGCATGTGGTCTGTTCATATGTTGCAGAAACGCTCTATCTTGCAATGCGTCGAAACGGATGGCTTTGAACGGATGTCGATACGCGCGCGTGGCGGCGCGCGCGTACGGCCCGCATGGTACTACTTGATACGGGTGGACCGCATGGTGCACTGGGCGCATGCTGGATCAACACGCATGGGCCGCATGGTGAAGTCAGAATACACATATATATATATATATATGTATATACACATATACAGATATATGATATATATGTACATACATATACATAAATAGATACAATACGGATTCATGCACTGGGCGCATGCTGGATCAACACGGATGGACCGCATGGTGAGGTCAGAATATATATATATATATATATATATATATATATATATATATGTATAGTGCGTGCTCCTGCCATTTCAGCTAGTGCGCGAGGGCGGAACATCTGCCAGGTGTTTGATAGAAAGCAGGAAGGTGTTCTTGCATGCTGAGATGTTTGCACAACTATCGTGTTTGGTGTGATGTCGACACGTACCCGCGAGTGTGGACTTCGTGCCGCTGTTGTGCAAGGGCGTCTTGACAAAAAAAACCTTTGAGAAAAACGAGCGCGCGCATAGTATCGTTTGACAGGGGTGAAAAGGGGGTCATTACGAGAAGGAACGATGGGGTAAAATCGTATGATTTGCAGTGTCCCAGGGGGTCCCGATGAGTCCAGGGGGGAGATGGTGGTAGAGTTCATTCTTCACTCGGAAGGGGAATCTACGCGGTGCGCCCAAAAGGCACAAGGCGCATGGGGCGCGCTCGCGAGGCGCCCAAGGGCGGCCGCCAGGTGAAAACCCAGCAGCGCGAGCCAGCGCAAGAGGCGCCCACGCAGCGCCCAGGGGCGGCCGCCGGGCGACGGCCCAGAAGAGCAGGCCAGCGCACCAGAAGCCCACAGAAGCGCCCCACGGGCGGCGGCCAGGCGAAAAAAACAGGGTCAGCCGACTAAAAAATGAAAGTAAAAAAGTGCGATCAAAACGTGCGGGAGCAAGGGTACACCACAATCACATCTTCGGCGAAGCCTTCCGTGGCACCCAGCCCCCCCCCCCCCCTGCGGCCCCCTGCCCCAGCTGCGCCCAGGCCAACCCCCGCCTGGCGCGTTGGCAGATTCGCGCGGCAGCGCAACGGGATACTTTCTCTCGAGGACGAGATCCTATGGGGCCAACAGGATACAGCCCCTCTACCTACGCTGCCTCCTCCCCCCATCCTCCCCCCCTTCCTCCCACCTCCCCCCCCTTGGAGGGTGGAGGGATGCGCTGGCTGTTTAGCACGGGGAGGGTATTGGATAAGGAACCCTTGGATAGGGAGTCCAGGGTCTGAAAGCCGGTGGAAATCCAGTCGCTGATTAGCCATGGATATCACCACCCCCCTCATCAGACAAGAAATCCTCTAGGGTCTGAAGCTGCCTGGGCACATTCCATAACGAACGCCCCCACCGCATTTGTTGCCCAGGAGGTCCCAAGCCACCGCGGCGAACCACTTATGATTCTGGACGTCCGCCGCGCCGTGCACTCCACAGCCCAGGCGGCGCGACTTGTCCTCTGGGAGGCCATGCCCATAACCGCCAGGCCGATCCTCCCGGGCCCTCCCCTCCGTCGTGAGGTGCCCCCGAGTACGCTGACCTCGGCCATGCCGCCGTTTGACGACGACGTGGGGAGCCAAATGAGACGAAGCGGGACCCTCTGAGACACGGGCGGTTCTGGAGGATAAGTCGGGCGCCGCGGCCTTCGCCAAGCGCTCTGGAGAGCTCCGGCAGCGTTGCCGAACACTCTGGAGCGATTTATGCCTGCCGTCCACCCCCCACCGTCCCTCCTCCTCCTCCTCCTCCTCCTCCTCCTCCCTCCTCCTCCTCCTCCTCCTCCTCCTCCTCCTCCTCATCATCATCATCATCATCATCGTCATCGTCTCGTCATCGTCATCATCATCATCATCATCATCATCATCATCATCATCATCATCATCATCATCATCATCATCATCATCATCATCATCATCATGATCATCATCATCATCAACATCATGATCAGAATCATCATCATCATCATCATCATCATCATCATCATCATCATCATCATCATCATCATCATCATCATCATCATCATCATCATCATCATCATCATCATCATCATCATCATCACCATCATCATCATCATCATCATCATCATCATCATCATCATCATCATCATTCATCATCGTCATCATCATCATCACATCATCATCATCATCATCCTCATCATCATCATTATCATAATATTCATCATCATCATCATCATCATCATCATCATCATCAGCAGCATCATCATCATCATTATGATCATCATCATCATCATCATCATCATCGTCCTCATTATCTCATCGCTCCTCCTCCTCCTCCTCCTCCTCCTCCTCCTCCGCATCATCACCATCATCAACATCATCATCATCATCATCATCATCATCATCATCATCATCATCATCATTATCTCATCGCTCCTCCTCCTCCTCCTCCTCCGCATCATCATCATCATCAGCATCATCGTCGTCAGCATCATCAGCATCAGCATCAGCCTCACCATCATCATCATCATCATCATCAGCAGCATCATGATCAGAATCATCATCATCATCATCATCAGCAGCAGCATGATCGTCATCATCATCAGAAGCATTATCATCATCAACATCATCATCAGCATCACCATCACCATCATCATCATCATCATCATCATCATCATCATCATCATCATCATCATCATCATCCGCAACAGCAGCATCAGCATCAGCATCAGCATCAGCACCATCATCCTCAACAGCATCAGCATCCTCATCATCATCATCGTCATCATCAGCAGCATTATCATCATCAACATCATCATCAGCATCAGCATCAGCATCATCATCAGCAGCAGCATCAGCATTGGCATCAGCATCATCAGCATCATCATCAGCATCATCAGCAGCAGCATCAGCATCAGCATCAGCATCATCATCAGCATCATCATCAGCAACATCATGATGATAGGTACCAGTATCATCGTCATCAGCAGCATCATCATCATAATCATCAGAATCAGCATCAGAATCTTCACCACCGTCATCATCATCCGAATCAGCATCATCAGAAGCAGCAGCATCAGCATCATCGTCATGAGCAGCATCAGCTTCGTCATAACCGTCACCATCCGCATCCTCATCATCATCACCATCATCAGCATCATCACCGTAATCATCATCATACCCATCATCAGCATCATCACCATCATCCTCATCGCCAGCATCAGCATCATCATTCCTGCTCATCCTCCTCATCCTCCTCGTCCTCCAGATCCACCTCCTCAAAATCAACATCAGCACTATCAGCATCAGCATCAGCCACCATCCACCTCCTCCACCTGTTCATCTTCCTCCTCATCATCCACCTATTCCTCCTCCGCCTCCACCTTCTCCTCCTCCTCATTCCCCATCCTCCTCCTCCTCCTCCTCCACCTCCTCCCCCTCCTCTTCATCCTCCTCCTCCTCCTCCTCCTCCGTCTCGTCCTTTTCATAATCTTCCTCCTCCTCATCCTCCTCCACATTCCCAATCCTCTTCTTCCTCATCCTCCTCCACCCCCATCGTCCTCCTCCTCCACATCCTCCTCCACCTCCTCCCCCGTCTCCTCTTCCTCCTCATCCTCATTTTCCTCCTCCTCCTCATCCGCCTCGTCCTCGTCTTCCTTATCCTCCTCCTCCTCATCATCATCCTCATCCTTCTCTTCGTCCTCCTCCTCCTCCTTTCATCCTCCTCCTCCTTTCATCCTCCTCCTCCCCACCCTCCTCCAACTCCTTCTCCTCATCCTCCTCCTCCTTCGCCTCCTGCTCCTCCTCCCCCCCGTCCCTCCTCATCCTACTCTTCCTCCGCCTTCTCCTCATCCTCTTCCGTATTGTATTCATCCTCCTCCTCCTCCCCCTACCACTACAACTACTACTACTACTACTACTACTACTACTACTACTACTACTACTACTACTACTACCACCTACTACTACCTACTACTACTACTACTACTACTACTACTACTACTACTACTACTACTACTACTACTACTACTACTACTACTACTACCACTACTACTACGACTACTACTACTACTACTACTACTACTACTACTACTACTACTACTACTACGACTACTACTACTACTGCTGCTGCTGCTGCTGCTGCTGCTGCTGCTGCTGCTACTACTACTGGCGGCCTCGTGCACCACATCACCACGGCTCAACCACCTTGGGAAGAGCGTCCTTGTGGCTGCCGCATTGCCAGTATGTAGCGGGCACCACTTCTGGGTGAAAGGGCGGGTCTGACGTGCATGCAGCGGCAGGCGCTTATCCGAGGGCAGCTGGTCCGCACGGCCCAAAGTGAAGAGTCAGCGGCGGCACAGCAGCACACGGGGCGACCCCAGCACCGCCATCGAGGCCATCTAGCGCAGGAAGGCGCGAGAGGAGGCCAGGATGGCAAGCCAAAATGGCTAGGCGCCCTGCGGCGCCGCGGCAGCACACGGGGCGACCCCAGCGTCGCCAGCGAGGCTCACGAGCGCAAGTGGGCGTGAGAGGAGGCCAAGATGGCTAGCCAATTGGCAGGCCAGAGTGGCTAGGTGCACAGATGACCGCACGCAGAGCGGAGGCTAAAGCAGCAGGTGCTGCGGCGCGAGGGGGGTACCACTGTGGGCACGCCGCGCTCGCGGGCAAGGCGGCGTTGCTGCAGCTGGGGCGTAAGCAGACCTACAGGTTCAGCACCTCTGAGAGTGGCAGGCACGAGACCTTGGCATGGACTCACGCAGCTCCCGAGGGCATAGAAGTATCCGATGCCGTGGGCCTGCTGGGTTTCATCATTCAAGCGGGCTGGCCTGCTCCCTGCGCAATGGCTGCAAAGACCTGCGACGGCAGCGCTTGCACTTCTCCCCCGAGGTCGCCACTGCCGCCCGCCTGCCCTGAGGGCCCAAAGATCTGGCGCTCGAGATCTTCGCCGAGGGCCATGTTCAGGGCTGCAACATTTGGGATCTGTTGCGGGAGCGGGTCCGTCGGCGGCGGCGGGTCCGTCGGCGGCGGCGGCACCACAGGGGGCGCCGTCAGCGGCGGCGGCGGCGGGGCCATGATGGCCGCTGGCGGGGCCCCGACAGGCGGCGGTGGCGGGCCCTGGCTGCCGCGGGCCCCACCCGCTGGAGGGGCGCTGGCGGTGCGGACGGGGGTGGCACGCGGGGCGACCCCTGTACCACCCCCGCCGCCCGTGAGGCTGCCCTCCCACAGGTTGCGGCGGCGCTCGCAGAGCGCCAGCTCCCTGCACGCCATCTCCAGGCGCCCCCTCTTGGCCTTATTCCGCGTCTTCTTGCTGTAGCCCGCCCACTCTGGGTCGTTCAGTCCCCAGGCGACCTGCGCGCACAGGTCGGCCCACTTGAACTCGGTCAGGCTCTCCTAGGAGAGCCCCTCCATTAACACATAGTGGCCCTCCCACTGCGGCTGGCGTGGAGCGTAGCGCTTGAAGACGGCGCCCACTGCCAGCGGCTCGACCTTGGGCAGGTACTGCAGGAGGCCCACAGCGCTGAACACCGGCATCTCCTCCTTCTTGAGCTGGTCGTAGCGCAGCAGGGCCTTCAAGTCGCGGATGCCCTCCTCGGGGTGTTCCGCATGCATGTAGTACGCACGCGGCGGGTTCAGCTCCTCCTCGATCAACTCGACGCAGACGCCGTAGGAGGTCGAGTAGCGCGCACCACAGTGGCAGCACCAGCGCTGGCCCGTCTCCCCCGCCGCCTCCTGCGCGCAGGTGAGCAGCTGCGTCCAGCGATCCGATCGGATCACCGAGCAGCATCCCCCGGGGTTGTCCCAGGTCTTGTTGGCCGAGCACTTGTAGTACATGTTGAACGTGAAGCCCTTGCCACGGTAGAACTGGTCAGTGTAGTCGCTCATGCGTCGGTAGGCCTCCTGCGCCGCGGTGTTGCCCTGGCACTCCTCCTTCCAGGCACGTTTGTGTCCCAGGTGTGCGTCCGCGACCCCCGAGGCTTCCAGGAGGCCCTTCTTCAGTCTTCCCACATCATCCTCTGCCTCCTCATTCAGCGCGTCGAGCCACTTCTGGACCCCGTCCTGCGCCTCTGCGCCCCTCACCATGTCCTCCTTCTTCTCCAGGATGGGCCCCAGGCCCCCCAGCATGTGGGCGCGCATGGTCTCGAGTTTGAGGACGCCATAGGCCCGCGCCATACGCTCCAGCGATTTCTTGGAGAGGCCGAGCCGCAGCAGGGGCTCGATGTCCGTGACCTCCTCCGCGGTCTTGACGTCGGTCAACTGGTGCTCCTGGTCCTCAGCATCGTTTTCGGGCCGGGGGCCGCTCTCCTCGCCACGGGGAGGTCCATCCTCGAGGGGCGGGGGTGGCGCACGGGGCGGCCCCGGCACCACCCCCACCTCCATCGCCATCGGACGACCGACCTCCTCCGCCACCGTTTCCGTGGCTGGTGGGGCGCCCGTGCTCTCGGGATCGATGCCCACCCCTACGCCCTCCGTTGACCTCCGCAGGGCAAGCAAGCCTTCCTCGG